ATAAAAGGTTTTAGTTTACTTTAAAAAAGAAACTGATTAGAGAAAATATTCATTATTGGTTTAATTAATTAAAAAAAGGGGAAATGATTATATTAATTAGGTTAATTAATGGTTTTGGAGTATATTAAACGTTAATGATGATGATTTAGTTGTTAGATGGCAGATTAACGGGCTAATGAGGGATTAGAGGCGGATTGATTGGGTGATGCATGGGTGTACGGGTATATCGTGGGCATGCAAATGAATGTGTGTGATGCTGATCTGGTGGGATCGTGTGGTGATGCGGTGAGGTGCACGGTAAGGTGTGTGTGTGTGTGTATGTGTGTGCCCGCGTGCGATCATTACAACAAACATTACACAAATCAACTCAGAAAGGGGAAAAAGAACCTTAGTCCCCCCCAAATCCCCAAATCGTCGTTTTCCGCCATTTCCTCTCTTTCCTTGCTCATTCTCTTCTTCTTCTCTTATTGCTTCCCCGATTTCTTCCCTTTCTTTCACCTGTACTTCCATCTTCTTTGTTCATTATTCCTTCTCTTTCGTTTGGGCTCGTGGGGGTGGTGTTTGATCACATTGCTTGTAGCTGATACTGAGCGTCCAAGTAAGTTTTACCACTAGAGGCCCTGCGCTGAAAGATCTGAGGTTCTTAATTTCACTATCAGAATGATTGCTGCAGATGATATATGTTACGATGCTTTGAGAAATAAATCTCAAATCTTCCGCCGTAATTATCATGTAGCTCCACAGTTCCTGGCTGGAAGGAATGGTGAAGCCATCAACAAAAGTTGAAATCGGCGAATAACGGCTTTCCAGATGCAGAGTCACTAAACGGAGACCTAGGAGCATCGGCGGTAGCTAGCTTGTCCGTACTTCAAGAATGGTTGGACCAACTTTCGGCAACACAATTGATAGCTCTTCTTTTACTTAATGTCTGTTACTACTGCAAATTGTTGGATTTCAAATGGTAGGCTTTTCACTTGTTTTAGCTCCAACCTTCTCAGCTGGTTTCGTTTTGGTTTAATGCATGGACTGTCATGGTCTAGGAGGAGCAATATTATGGCACAAGCGTGTACGGTACGAATTTTTCTTGTCTTTTCTTCTTAGTTTTTAAACTTTGATTTACCTCCCTTTATGGCACTGCAGGCCTTTTAGTTGTTAATTCTGATATGTTGTATGCAGGTTTAGTGCTACCGCGGTTTATTGAGAGAATTTCTGCATTGTCGCCGGTGGCGGACGTAACGGACTTAGGAGGAAGATTAGGATTGCATGTCTGCAAATCGTCACAACCGCTTCAAACTCCAGCAATGGTTCCGTCGCTTTTTACCCATCCAAACCTTCTTCAAATGGCGAAGAAATGGAGGCTCGGAAGTATGATGGTGGAGAACAACAAAAGTAATGCCTTCAAGCTTGTTCTTAGCAAAAGTAAACAACAAATTGAAGTAGCAGCCTTTAGGATGGTTTGATACGAACTATGTAATTGGTGTAATGTCATAACGTGATGTACAATTGCCTTAAGTTGAATGACTTCCTGAAAAAAACAATGAGGCCAAGTCGAATGTACATTGTGAATTTCTATTTAATCCAATTGCAACATTGTCTCCTTGGTACGGGTATTCCTTGTAGATTAAAATTGTATCCTTTGATTGATAGACTTGGTGAGTTTGAACTCTAAATTTCCCGGTAATCTTATAATAATGATAATGAAGTGGTCGTGACATTCCCAAAATACAAAACCGACTTGTATCTACGACTGCCTGTAGCTATTTGGCAGGATCTTGGAATAAAAGGACACCACTTGCTAATCTCTTGTAACCTTAATCATGGAAGTGTGTTTGGAATAATCCACCTATTGCTTCGGACCGTGAACCTTGAATTTGATTGAAATGTAAGCCTTGGCATTCGCTGTAGTATCTTAAAATCTGGTTATTCGAACTTAAACCCTCTTGTCTTGAATGGTGAGCCGAATTTATAAAAACATCGTGGCGCCTCGTAGCCTACTTTCCATAATAGGAATCAATCCTCGTAATCATGAAAGAAAGCCTTGCAGTTGGTTTTGTAAATCCATGAGTTGAATCCACTCTTGGTATGCGAACTTTGTCTTAAAACCTAACTGTGAGGATTTATACCTGCCATTATTGTATCTGCGCAAATTCGGTTAGCCATAGAAAATATATATACAAAAATAGAAACAGGCAAGAAAACATATATGACAAGATGCACAATGGAGGTGGGATCTTGAGGTCAAAAATTAGGGTGTGACAGTGTACTAGTTGCATGTGGTTCAAACATTGAGTGAATGCATTCAGTAGGTGTACTGAACAAGGAGTGAGCTCTTGAAGACATGAAGATGAATCTTATGTTTTCCATTCACGAAAAAGAGAACTATGGGGAGTTATACTTCTATCTAGGATATGTTGCTGCAATAATACAGTTTTTTTCAAGATTGTTTGTGTTTTCAAGAAGCTTGTGATTGTATGTCTCTATGAGGATGGTATCTCAGACAAAAGGTTGTGACATTATATTATTGCTCTAGCTCATGGTGAACCTGACAGTGTATTCTTTGGGTGTTAATGGATCAAATCAGATTTGTACAAGCTTTATTGGGAGAGAGCATTATAATCTGGCTTCCATAGAAGGGATTTTTGGTCAGCAGGTTTTTGGGCCTCTATCCAAGTGTTTTGTCTTGTATTTGTATGGCTAGTGAAGATGAAGATCAAGACATCATCAGCTTTGATTTTGTGCACATGTGTGGTTTATGAATCAAGGGGTGTAAAGTTGCATGTGTGAAGATGGTGAAGTGATTCTTCATGTGTTTGGGTTCTCTCTTTTAGGGGGAGTGTTGTTTATGCATGACAGGGAGAGTTGTGTACATGTCTGATGTGTAGCTGCGTTGGTGTAGCTTGTACAAAGTTTGCTGATTCTCAGGCAAGCTTGTGTTCTTGGACCACTGGTGAGGTCGTAATGTCAGACAAGATGTCCTGACATTGTGTTGTCTGGTGTACCCTTCTACCTTGACAATGTGACTATGGGTCTGGCTTTGTGAAACTGTTGGTTTGAACTAGGTATGTGCTTACTTCTTATGAATGATCTAGGAAACAACATTGGTTATTGTCTGGGAGAATTTATTTTTCTCTGCAGAATATTTGTGTGTGATTTAAAATCATTTGCTACTTGTGACCTTAGCAAGTATTTGATTGATTATCCTTTAATTGGTGATGCCAAAAGTGTCACTCCTGAAGGTGCAGCTTCAGACAAGGTAAGAACTCAAGATTCAATGAAAATGTTCATGGGTTAAAGTCATGTCACTACAAGAAAAACAATGGATTGCGACAGTTATTTTGGCAGGTTACGACGGTTAAAACCATCATCAATTACATTTTACGACGGTCGTAGTACTGTCGCAGAAACGTGTGTCCCCAGGCTGTTTAGCGACGGTTGAAAAAACCGTCACACACAACCGTCGTTATATTTCACGACGGGCTTGAACTGACCTAAACTGGAGATGGCGACGGTTAAAGACCGTCGTTACTAGCCTTTTGATTTTTATTTTCATTTTGGCAAGTTACGACGGTTTGAACCGCCGCAATTTTCGTGACAGTTTCCCATGGATTTTCATTTTTATTTTTATTATTATCATTGATTATGACGGTAAATTATGGCATATTGAACCGTGTGAATATTTATTATAAAAAATTTATCCTCAATTTTTTAGCATTATTATAAAAAGATAATAAAAAAACAAAATAAAAAATAAATTATGTAACTTTGTGTACAAATTAACATGATCTATATTTTTTTACAAGACATCTAACTTGACAGCACCAGGTCCATCCAAAAGTGCACAAGGATTTACTTTACAACAAGTGGACAAGAGGCTCGCCTAAACGCATATACTCTAGGCACTAATAAATCTAAAATGACGCAAAATATGGACATAAATTGCAGCATTTGAAAAACTATTGGGATGAAGAAGGTTGTCAATCCAGTTTCTGAGTCATAGTTGAAGTCAGTTGAAGTCCCATCCACCATGCACTTTATTGGACGCTGCAAGGAGTAAACTCTAAACTTTCCACTTCCTCTAACTTTCAAACTAATATTCGCTGTAGTCGTTCGGTTAGGACCTAGAGAAGTTATCAGTTTTGATGATACAACCTCTCTTTCAAATAGTTCTTGTTTGTTGTAAGTCTCTCTATGAATTTCAACCTCATCCACAGCTCTTCCAGTGTTGAACATATCCATTAAGCCTACAGCTGCAAATGATATACCGCACGCAATTTCCTGTCAAATGAAACATTACATCAGTCAGTTGAACAAAATCAAAGGCAGAAAAAAATCCAAAAACCAATGAAATAATATTGTATATGTTGATGGTGAACTCTTACTTGGATTGGACAGAAATGGAAAAGTTCAAACTCCAGAACCTTCAGTGTCACTGGAATAGAAACACCTTTCAGTAGCCGAATCACCTCGCCTAAAAAATGGAGAGGAGTATTAAATAATGATTGTGACTTGTTTGAATTCATATGATAAATTAATTGTGAATAATTAATTGTACCTGATCTGTATGCATAAACAATAGTCTCCCCGTGCCATTCAGCACCAGCTACTTGATTGATGAGATCAATTTTAGGTCATTGCTATAACGCTATGCTTTTGGTGTTGACTAGTTGGCGTGATTCTTTAAGGACCCTCACACAAGTAAATTAAATTAAATTAAATAATAATTAATCAGTATGCTAGCCACACCCAAACATTGGGTCTGGTCCAGCTTACTAGATTATACCAGTTTGTTGTTGTATTTGGGTGGTCGCGATTGTGAATGAGAAAAGGAAGAAGGTCTAATCACATGATACTTTACTTTAAAATGTAATATGAGCCGTTAATCTAAATCTAACGGTTAATTAATTGTTCTCATATCTCAAAATAACCAAATCTCACAATAACCAAGTGTTCTCACCAGAGTTGTCCTCTATATATTTGTACGTGTATGTGTGTGTGACTCCCTATTTCAAAGAATAATATGAAACCTGCTCCATTATTCCTTTGTACATAATCACCAGAGCCCTCTTTACATAAGCACTATCATAATTATAAGTGCTTAATGAAGGCCTAGCCCTGTAAGCCAAAAAGGAATTCAGGAACATAGACGAAGATTAAAAGTTCACTGATCCAAACTCATTGAAAATAAAAAAACAAAAAAAACATGTAAACCCAACATGCCTGTGATCCCCCTGGGTCAAAGCACCGAGAGATTCTAATCTCTTCGCAACAATTGATGCAAATCGCCGTTCTCCACCAAGATTAGTAAAGAGTATCCTGATGCGTTTATGAGAATAGAGATCAGGTAAAACTGGCGTAAATTGGCAAGACAATATCAACAAAAACTATAGCTGGAACCATTTCATATCCAGTCTAAGGAGCTTACATTTTAACTTCTACAGGATTTATGAGAATTGCATATTATAAACCAGAAATATAGCATTTTAACAAAGCAGAATAACCTATGTTATCAATTTTGGATAGCAGAACGGCGCAACCATCTCCAAAATTGGAACAGAATGGGAGCGGGAAGCGGAATGGCTGATTTTTTAATGACGTGGACACTAATACAGTTAATACTAATGAAAACATTATTGTTAAAAACTAAAATAAATAAATCAAAATTTATGAAGTATTCATATTTTGAAATAAAAGTCTAAAATAATCTTGCTATTCTTAAATTTAAGGGTAATATCATATATGGCTGAAGCAGCCAGAGCAGCTGCATCAGAGCGGCTTTGTTCCGACTCCAATCCCATTATTACGGTCGTACCAGCCGACCCATCTGTGACGGAACGGCACAGTCTGACACGGTTTTCTTGGTTTTGCTGCTCCGTTCCGAGATAACAGCTGGAACGGTCGAGGTTAACAACTTACATCTTGAGTTGAAAGCAATTGAAATCATTTGGCTACAGTAAGACAGTAGAATGGTGAAAAAGAGAGATATAAGACTCTTACTACATTCTATTAGATCAATGTGCATAAAACACTGTAGTATCAGAGTTTTGGACACACCTTTGACACTGAAACTTCTTTAACATGTGTCACACACTACTCACTAACTCAATAGGTGTCCAGTTAAACTTTTTCTTTTTTTGTCTAAGATAGGGATCAAACAACTTTGTCCAACCATTGCTTAAGCGATTTTAAACTTATATGTCTGAAACAGAATACTTTGGTTTCAGGCTTAAGTTCTAAGTTAAATACTTTGCAGATATGAAAACAGAGAGACAACAAGTTAACCAATTAATTTAGTTAACATAAATAACAATATGAAAAGTAAGCAAACAGATCGAACGTAATTCATTCTAATCAATAACCTGTATTCTGGTGCTGAAGCTTGATTTGATCTATGAGTTCTTCCAAATTCCTGAATTGCACGGTCAGCACTCCATGGAAGCTCTAGCGTTAAATGAACCCTTCTTTTCTGTTATGTAAAGGTCGTGGGGCATAAAATTGGGAGAAATGGCAGACAACAAAGAATACAACAGAGCAGAAAATCAATCACAAAAGTTCTATACCACACCAAATCATAAACATAGGACAGACAAGACAATGGCATCAGGGACAAAAAACCTTCAAGTCAGTTTGACATACCTGATTTGCCGCTCTCTTATCTGCCTGCAAGGAAACACCAGCTGATCCAGCTTCAGAAATAATAGCAACAAACTTTATTCCGTCCATAAAAAGCTGCTTTTCGTGCATGTTAACCATTTCCATAGTGACGTCCTTTCTACACAGATACACAAAAATTGGCATAATGCAGTTACTATTAAATGTTGTTAAACAATAAGATATGGAGCGGAGACACTACAACTTACGTATTACAAACCTGATAAGTTACACCCTTTCCGGTAGGGCCCCTCACAAGCATGCCTCTCCTTCGTGTAATTTCTGCAACTTTGTCGGACCCTCCTAACTGTATATAAAAAAAATTGTAACCAGAAATGTGAGTAATTTTAATTCATAAAAAGACAGTATTAAGGGGAAAAAGTACAAAAAAAGGACTCACATGATAACCAAATAAGAAAACTAGAACCTATGAGATTTAATGATACAACACAGCATGCTAATGTCTCTAAATGTTTTACAGAGAAACACCTAAAAAAATCATTAATATAACAATAAAAAAGAAAGCTTTAAATAATCCAATCACTAATGATTATAGCCACAATTAAGATTATTCTATCTACTTATTATTGTTGATATAGTTTCATTGGTTTACTACTTTTCCTTATTTTGAGAGATTCTCTTTGTACAGACACATTGTGTGATGCAAGTCATCCATTCTAAATTATTCAAGTTGATATATAGCCTATCTATTCGGGACATCCACCAAATTATCCACGCATCATGCCCAATACTACAGGGCATGAGGGGTGTATTGAGAAAAACCCAATTCCCACATTGAAGAGATACAAGGCTTTAAAAACTTTATAAAGAGACATGAGACATCCCTCGCCTTACAAACCAGTTTTGTATAGATGAGTTAGGCCAATATACCAAAACAAATATGACAAATGAAGTCTAGAGTGAAGCATTCCTTTTAACCCATGATAATGTAAATTGGGAATAAAGCGTTAGAGTCCCCAAATGCAGCAAGAAATAAATGTTGTGGTAAGATGAACTGTAGAAGCATAACATCAAACCACTGCTTAAGTTACTTGTCAACTTATATGGCTCAAGCAGTAGCTCAAAGAGCTGAGGTTTGAGGATGCTTAACAGATGACACTCGCTTGTGATAGTTAGGTTTGAGGATGCTTAACAGATGAGACTCACTTGTGATAATCAGGTTTGCCTTGCTTATTGCCTCAAATCCAAATAATTCACATTCAACCTCAACAAACAACCAGCATCAAAACGTTTCCTACTTTACACCAACAATAAGTTATATTGCATCATCCCCACACCAGATAGATGATGAGCACATGTCCTTTACCAATTTATTACACAATATTAAATTGACACTATAAAGCAATGTCATAGATTAAAGAAGCAAATCTTCAAAGGTAAAGTTTTCAATCACACGGTATGGATTAAGAGTAACTTCCAGGACCCTGATATCATGCATAACTAACAAAAAGATCTAACTATTCTGCCTACGCTCATGAATAGATTCGATGAAAGTAGCAATTTGCATTGGATGCTTGAACACACATTTTTCCTATAAATGGGAAATTAAATATTTCAAACAGAGGTCAAATTTCTTATACAAGAGCAAAACAGAAAGTTTCAAAACTCTATAAAGCAAACATTTTAGTTATTCCATGACAGCAGTTGTGATAGAGGAAAAGGTCGGCAAGCATCTTTATTTTACTGGTCCCTTGCATCTATGTAATTGTGTTCAGATAACCTCTAAACATTACAGTTAAACTGTATTTGAGTACATTAAAGCAAATGATCTTCAAAGCAAGCGGGTAAAATAAAATAAGGAATCACTACCTGGTCAGTAATATCATCCAAAGGATTATTTGGAAGATCCAAAGAACGAATGATCTCTAATATTTTAGTCCTACGTTCCAAGGCTGCATCATATCTGTCATAATTTAATAAAGCAATCAGCACTTTATTATTTAATTTTCCCCCCTAATTTAGGTTTATGAAGATAATGTGTCTTGCAATTTCTTTTTTAACCAGTTTTTCAACATAAAATAATAATTAAAACCATTAAAGTCAGACCCCAATAACTTGAGAAATGTTTAAATTGTATACCTCTTCCGGAGTTCTGCTATGTAGGCCTGCCTTGCTTGAAGATATTCATCTGTCTTTCCCTTACATAAATGGCATGACCACTCTCTCAAAAAATTGACCATATTCCTGGTGGCAGAGATTCAACCGATTAGCGATTCCACCTCATATTGCTGAATGTTGCGACAGGTGTGCTAGTATGGCCAGAATAACAGTAGAAAAATAGCGATAACAGTAAAATCTAACCGATTAGCAATAATCATAACAAGAAACTGAAATCAAGCACATGCACAAGAACTATCAACGACGACGGAATCTTCGTCGTCGCTCCTGAACAACAAATAACCAACCGCGAGACCAACCACAATAGCTATAAACACGCCACCTTTATACGACATAACAGACAACATCATGAAATACCCGATCGCCGAGCTTAACCCGAACAGAACCGCTCCGGCGACTCTCACGCCTAATTTAGCTCCACTTCCGGCGAACGTCCGTCGAAGAAGAGACGCCTCGATCTGTGCCGGAAACAGCTTTCTGGAGGCCAACAGCTTGAGGCGAATACGGCGATTCTCGAGCAACTGGTAGAAAATGGAGATGAGGAGACAAGTGAGTAGACTCAGTGTGTGAAAAACAAGAGCAAGACCATTTACATTTAGTGTCTTCAGCTAGTACATTTCATCAAACAGCTAGAAGTCATAAACAGTTATGCATTAGGTTTGTTTTCTCCTTCCATGATGGCACCTCAAGTGATGGCATTATGCCCTGTTGTTGGAACATTGATTCATCAGCTTCAAAACCAAAACTTCTAAGCTCATGATCACCATGATGAATGTTGCCGCATGGGCAAGAGTAGAGAAATTAGAGACTTATATAAAATACGTCTTCTTAAAGTAAACATGCCCTCAGTGAATAATTTGTAAACACGGGTTAAAATTGATTGGGAAACTATCACTATATAAAGTACAGAAGGAAACAAACACGGTAACATCAAATCTTTGGTATTGACCTCCCTCCCTAATAACTAAACCAAAGCCCCAAACTTCTGAACCAATCAGTTCTGCCAATTTTATTTCAATTTTCACTAGGCTAGAATGTTACATCGCCCCTATTTGGCAACACTTTGAACTGAATCGTGTATCACGGAACAACGAAGATTTGTTCAAAGGCTCTATTTGATAACACTTGAACCAAACCAATACATCAATGATGATGGTGCAATTGAAACACAATTTTACCTGATATTGAAAATACTATAAAACGGCCCTGCGATGCTTGGAATACTTATTGACGATTGCCTCTCGTATTGAATTTCATTACGAGGGAGTCTGGAAATGTTTCCTTTGAAAGCTTCTTTTCGCATTTCGGAGATGTAAGTTTTTCGGGAAATCATGTGAGGAATAGGAGAAATGCATACTCGTTGTTGTTAAATGTGAATTTAGGAATTTAGGGTTAGGATTTTTGAGGGAACGGCAGGTTTAGAATTAGATGGAAGGATTTAGGATTTAAGATAAGCAAGTGAGAATGAATTTGATCCCAAAATTATATTATATCCAAAACAAAAGAAAATATAATTTGTGTTTTCTTTTAAATATGTTTTCTAATTTTATTGTTTAAATAAAAGAGATTAATATTTTAATATTTACACTCAAATTAAATTCTTTTTAAAATTTATGCAAATAAATTTTTGAAATGATGTGAATTTTAATCCCATATATATATATATATATATATATATATATATATATATATATATATATATATATATATATATATATATATATATATATATATATATATATATATATATATATATATATATATATATATATATATATATATATATATATATATATATATATATATATATATATATATATATATATATATATATATATATATATATATATATATATATATATATATATATATATAAAACATTGTTATCAAAATTTATTTTAATAAAAGTAATTATTTATATAATAAAATAGAAAATATTTTACTATTATTTTAGACAAAAATATTAAACTACATTGTCATGAAAATTATAATAATTATTTATTAAATTAATTAATAAAATTGAAAATGTTAGAAAATAAAAATGAAACAAAAAAGTGGAAAAGGAATAAAAAATAGTGATTATGATTGGCTAAAGTAATTGCGACAGTTCGCCTTAACTGTCGCGAGTGTGGAAAGATGGCGGTTCTTTGGTAACTATCGCATTATTTTATACAACATGTCTAAAAAATTTGCGACGGTTGACTCAAACTGTCGTGAGAACTGTCATAGTCCAGGAATAAGGACGGTTTTTTGATAACTGTCGCAAAAAATCTACGACAGTTGACCCTAACTGTCGTGACAACCGTCGCAATTCAGGAATAAGGACGGTTTTGAGATAACTGTCGCAACTCAAGTGTCGTAAATCTCCTTTTTTCTTGTAGTGTGTGGAGTTGATACTGTGGAGGTTGTTTCTTATCATGATGAAGCATGGTGTATGATGGTCATGGTGAAGAATCATATTTTTTTTATCTGTGCAAAAGAGGAGTAGATAGAAAGTAAAAGAAGAAGTAGCTTATGTCCATGACTTGGTGCTTATAGATGAAGCAATCATTTCTTAAGGTGCTTAAGAATCTTTATTATATTTGTAATGTCAGACAGGATGTCTGAACATTATGTCTCTGAGGAAGCTACATGAGAGTCTATTTCTCTCTATGATGTTTTGGTGTTTGTGATTATCTGTTAAGCTGATGTTACTGTGTCCTACTAAGACCTTCATGTGTATCCTAATGAAATGTATGAACTACTATGGAAATAATAAGTCTTGTGGTTGGTGTCTTAAGAACCAAGGTGAGTGGTAAAAGAATTGATGGGCTGGAATCAGGATTGATTTTACAGTGAGCTCAGCAGGGGGTGATTTGAGAGCTAGAGTTTAGTTGTGTTTAAGTCATTGTCCATGGATTGTTACTGCAGTGGTGCAGTCTTTATATTGATTAGAGATCAGCAGCTTGTGTATCTCTTGGGAGATTGTGAGATGATTGGATTTTTGGATACCACGTGCAGTCTGTCAGCTGAGTCTTACTTTGAAGCATGATGTTTCTGATTCAGTTTTTGGGTTGGCTCTGATTGGTGTGGTATGAGTTTATGTGTGTACACTTACTCCAAAATTTATCAATTTTTGTCTAAAAAGGGGGAGTAAAGTATTGATGTTCTATTGTCCTAATATTATGTCACATGTATTGACATGATGACCAACATTGTGATAGGACTTTGCTACTGGTAAAGGAAGAGTAGTGTTTTGTTGTTGCTTGCTAGATGCAACTATTAAAGGGGAACATGATAGTTTGTGAGGCTGGATGTATTTGAGAAAACTACTGTTGTTGCTGCCTGATAAGTTTGTTTGGTTGTTTTAGCCAAAATTTGCCAAAGGGGGAGATTATTCATTCCATGATTCTATGATTGTCCATGGTTCTATGATTGGCTAAATTTTGGCTAAAACATGATTCTGCACTGATGTTAAGCAAGATGTTATAACATCTTCATCTACTGTTAAGACAGAACTGTTGTCATATGTTTTAATCAAGATGTCGAGACAGATGTCATGACATCTTTGTCTAGTACATCAAGAGCTGCTATTTTATATCTCTTGACCGAGGTGTTTTGGTTTGATGAGATTTTGTTGGATATACCTCATTAGTATGTGTAGGTCAAAGAGATTTATTAGGAACAAAGTGCATATTTAATTGGAGTTCATAAAAAGGATCTTTAAGACTTTTTAGGAAACTACAAAATATTTGTTTCTACTGTTATGAAGAAGATTCTGCAGAAGATTTGGAATTTGACTTGATTGGCAGGAATTTTGGTAAAACTAAGTGTAATCACAGGATGTCCTCCAAGATGTCGTGACATCTGTAGTCAGAATTAGCAGGTGGCATTTTGTGTTGTGTAACAGGTTTTCTCATGATGTCAAACCAGATGTCTTGAGATTCATGATCCAGAACATTCTGTATGAATGTATGTGTGAGCATATCTTTTTTGTGCAAGTTGGTTGCTCATATATGCTGTAGAATCTGCGTGATTCTATTTTGTGAGTAAAGACGTTTTTGTTGCATCTTCTATGGATCAAATTGGATTTGATTTGGATTTAATATCAGAAGATCAATTGTTGTTGTGGAGATTGAGATCAATTGCAGATTTGGAGATTAATTTGATTAGATTTGATTTGCTAAATCAAATTTGATTGATTGGTTGTATGTTGTGGTAAAACATTGTTATGTGTGTAGATGCCTTGACTGATGTCATGACATACTTGTGTAGTGTTCTGCAGGATATGTTTGGTTAGCTAATACAGAGTTTATTGGATGTCAAGCTGAATGTTGTGACATCAGTATCTGCCAGCATGGGCGCTGTTTTGTTTTCTGTTATGTTTCCTTATTTATCTCAGGCTATATTTTAGGAAACTTTCTATTCAGTGTTGATCATGAAAGAAAACGCCTATGGCCTATTTTTCAGCACCTTGAATTGTGGAGATTGGATTAACTTGGTTAAACCTATTTTATGCTACTTAGGCCCAAGCCTAGTCTGCATTACTATTTAAGGAGGCGCATAAACAAGGGAAATTAAGCACTCACAACAAGAAAAACTTGAGTGTAAAATAAGGGTTTAGGCTTTTTAGAGTCTTGTGTGTGTGACTTTGTAAGTCACCCTTTGTATCTTTGGATGCATCGTGGTAGACATATTGTTAGTTGTTAATTGTTAAGTGTTAATTGTTCACTCAAAGCTTGTAAGCAGGAGTATATTGTTCTTGATTGAAGCTGTTAAGCAAAATCAAGTATTGTGACTTTGAAGAGTGTCTTTCAAAGTCTTCTTTTTGTATTGACTTGTTTATCACTGTTGTGATTGTGGAAAGTGAGAGGTGTCTCTTGTCTAGTGGGTTCTAGGCAGAAATTGCATTGGGTAGGGATTAAGTGAGGGGTTGTAAATTGGGAGTTTAGCTCTGAATTAATACTACTAATAGTGGATTTCCTTCCTGGCTTGGTATCCCCCAGATGTAGGTGATGTTGCACCGAATTGGGTTAATAATTCACTATGTTATTTATCTTTCTGCACTTAACATTCTGCTCAATTTAAATGGTTAGATAAATTGTTCTGTCAGTCTGCAGATGTTACAGCAGATGTCACGACACTGCTAATTTTTAAAGTGAATTAAAATGTACATGTTCTGTCCTTGTTCTGTTTTAGTAGAGATCAATGTCCTTACATATGTTTGGGACATCTGAAATCTGTATACCAGAATTTCAGTTAGCAATTCAATGTTTTGTCCTGTAAGAGAATGAAAAGTGATGTGTTAGTGGAAATGGATTTGAATACTTGAGAAATGATGTGCCTCTACTCTTATATAATAGAGACGATTAGCAACAAAAAAGCATGGAGTGATGTGTGAATCTCAATCATCCATCAAATTGATATGGATGGTCAGTAGAGCTCCTGAAGGCAGAATTACACGCTTGACGTAGAGTAAAGGTCTACCTATTCGATGCACTTTGCTACTTTCTCTCTACCATTGGGATTTTTTTGTCTTTAGTCTTGTGGGCTCTAAAAAATGATTTTTTGAAAAACATAAATATTCTCTATTTGTATTTAGGAAAACAAAACCTTGCAATTTTTTTCATTTAATGAAAATTATTTTATTTTTTTGTTGTTTTATTATTATTTATTGAGATTTTTTCACATTAATATTAGGTGTAGTCCTTTTCTTGCATCTCTTATTTTTAACGGCAGAATATTATCTTGTTATTCTAGAACCCAATATGATTATGTATCACGCAAAACTATATCATATGAGAGTGTTCACATGTATTTAAAGCTTCTCTATAAAAATGGAGGCTTTATTGTAATTTTTCAACATTTGAATGAAAATATTACATTAAGAAAGTCGTTGCTTACTGATCGCCAGAGACGTGATGGTTGGCTTCGAGTTTATTTGGATTTGTTATCCACGTCTATCTGGCCAAGATGATTTGCCTTACCTAGAGAGAGTTGAATAGCCATGTCTCTCAACATCTTGATTAGGGAGGCCACGTTAATCTCCATGGGTTTTCCTTCACCTTTCTTTTGGTCTTGTTGCAACACTCTATATTTCCTCTTTGCTCCAGATAAGTCGACATTTGTCGTCACCAACTCATCATGAATGTTATGGCATTTCCGCTTAAGCTGGACCAAGGATGCCATTGCATCTAAGGTCATTGCGAAGAGTCTGGCTAAGATGTAGTTGTAAATGCTTGTGCAAATGACTACTAGAAATGGAGAGTTGGTCGTCCTAGTATCTCGTCCCTCTTCCATGATGACCATCAGCTCAATTTATCCCCAAGGACGGGTTATTGTGTCATTGAAGGCTTGCAGGTTAGGTTATTCTTAGGGTCATAACTTCTCTTTCTTCATCCCAATCGTTTCAAAAAAGTTTGAGTACGTGATGTCACAGGAATGCTTCCATTAATAAGCACCTGAGAGATGTCAAAATTAGACATCGTGACTATTATCACCAAAAGAAAGATCTCACTTTAGATTCCTCCTACCTTTTTGTTGTCACATAATTCGAGGATTTTCCTCTCCGCCACCCCAGTTGAAGTGTTTCCCTTTTTCCTAATGACGACCATTTATTCAGCGATCTTCCTCTTCATTGTTTCTTTGGAGGGATTGCTTTCTCTTGGGACACCATTAGTGATGAAAGTGATGTATTGACGTTTTGCTTTATGACCTTCTTTTTCCTCATTGTTAGTATCCTATTCTTTGATTGTGGTAACATCTTTGATGGTCTTCTTGGGAGTTTTCTTCCTCCGGGGGGAGCGTTTCTTCTTCGGTGAGTCCTTTCAGCATCCTCGACCTCTCTTTCTCTCTAGTGTACTCGGCAAGCCTCTCATTCTCTGGTGCCCGGTTGGGTTCTTTCTCGATTTACTCTCTCAGCCAGGAGTTTCCCTTAATAATTGATGTAAGGTTATGCCCTACTCAATAATTATTTTAGATTATGGGCTTCCTTAAGCCACATTTTCTCCCGGAACATGCGATCTAACCTTAACCCCTTCTCGAAAACCCAAAACTTCAACATGTTATCTGTACCCCCACAACCACTGCCACTTTGGTAAAATAATCGATGTACGCACATATGGTTTCTTTCTTCCCTCCTAAGTGGTCCTGTTGTGTAGGACCATTGTTTTAGTTTGTCTCTTTTGGGCGGTGAAAGCTTTTAAAAGTATATCCAAGAATCTATGCTCTCCTCCAATAGGGCCTTAAACCAAGCCATCGTTGATCTAGTTAAAGTTAATGCAAAAATCTTACATTTTACTGCCTCGTTGGCGTGATATTAATCTAAATTGTCGTCCATGTGCTCAACATGTTTGTTTGGGTTTCTGGTTCGATCATAGGTTTGAAGATGCAAAGGTTTCTCTAGGGACCTCAGGATTCTTCTATCAAGGATACGAGTAGACAGACGAATTTTTTTTATTCCAGTACCGGAGTATCTTCGTCATATCTTTCCCTTGAGACATATGGTTACTGCTTCCTCCATCATAATCTAAGGGAGGGGTCTTGTGTCTTCAATGACGGGTGTGAGCCAACGACCTCAAAATCTCTCCTTGTGGTGTTGCTGCTCTCAAGGAGGTCAGTTCAGGAACAGCGAATTAATTTTTTTGATAGGTCACCTCTCACACAGTGATATTCTTCATATTTAACCTGATGTGGGCTCTCTTTGATTGTGAATAGCCTTTTCACTAGGAATTATGAGTTATGTTATTACACCATATTGTAAACAATGTTCGACATATCAATAGCTCCTTGCACCCCGAGGTTAGTCTGCAACAACTAAAGGTCAGAGAGTATTTTCTTTCCAGGAATCACAGGTAGTGATGGAGGTCAATGTGAAGATTCGCCTTGATGAAATTGCTGCGCAAATTCGAATAACGAAAGAGTTTAGAATACTCATTGACCAACTCTCGTTGGAACATGATCTTGTTATGAAAGATTAGATGGAGACATTACCAAGACTGGATCGTCTTCTGTTTGAGGAAGAGGATGTGAATATTTGACAACTTCATTAGCGGCGGTAGCGATTTTGCATTGAACGGGAGATCGATTGGCTCTGAACTCCACCAGAATCTGAAGAAAGACTTATTGGAAAGGAGGTTGTGATTCGAAGAAGAGGATCAAGAAATTAAGATCTAAACCTCTAAGTGATGGTCTGGATCTCAGGATCGAATGAGATCTAAATATGGAATTGCGCAGAAATCAGATCTCGATTTCCGCAGACGGTGTCAATATTTCGTTGTGGACCAAGATTGTTTGATAGATGATAAAATAGTGTTTGCTAGGGTGAACTTGAACTTCTGATGCGATGGAGAATAGAATGATCTGCAAGGTTAGCACTCTAACACCCAGATCAGTAAGAGGATGAAAAATAATGTGAGAATGAATTTGAATATCATCTTAAAAAGTGGAAACAATTATCAACAAAAAATATGGAGCGAGTGTGGATCGTGACCAACCGTTAGATTGATCCTAACGTGTCTAGCGCTCTGTGTCTTATGGGCCCATAACAAATGGTTTATGACAAGACATATAGATGAGAAAATTAATTTTTTTTCCTTATCATTTATTGGTTTGTGATATTATCTTGTTATTCTATAAACCCAACATGATTCTGTATCATGCAAAACTTTATCCTACAAGAGTATTCACTTGTATATAAAGCTTCTCTTAAAAAGATGGATGCTTTATTGAAATTTTTCAACATTCCAAGAAAAATATTACATTAAGAGAGGCTATAAACAAATCCAAAAGTACATTGAAAGAGGACTCACACATAAACTTATTCTCATTATAAGAAAAAGCCAAAATGCAAACTGAACATGAAAAAGCTTATGCAAATTAGACAAGACATGTATCACATAGTACACACATCTAAGTGTTCTTTTTAGCAAAATTTATTACTAGTAGACAAGGGATAGTGGGGTACCCCACACTTTACATCAAGATGCAATCGTAATTTTACAATAAAGTAAACATAATACAAAGATACAGATACCTTTTCAAGAACCAGCTTCTAACTTAGATGAATTCAGATTTATACGTGAAAATAACAAAATTATACAAACTCACATTTTAGATTTATACTAATTATGCAGCCAAAATTGGAACCCTCTTATGCCCTATAAAATGCTGCTTAAGCATATGATAGTTATTTCTATAGTGTTCAAGTGAGAAGCATAGCTGCCGAATCGCCTCGCGCTTCTCCTCGGCTGTTTCTAAAATCTCCGATTTTTGCCTCTCGACGAGTTCCTCGAGTTTCTTAGCTTTTGTTTTTATTTCTTCTGCTTGTCTGCGTGATTCTTCCATTCCGGAAATCAGTTGTACATGTTCCATATGTAATTCGTTCAAATGTCGGTCGAGACTTTCTATCCTGCCGTCTCTAGAGTTCACATCTTCCTTGAGTGAACCTATTAGGATATTGAGATTATCAAGGCTTACATTGAGTTCTTTTATGTTGTTTTCTCTCTGATTGATTTCTGCCTTGAGTAACTCGATTCTGTCTTTGAATTCTGCCTCCATCTCGATCCTTTCGGATTGAATGTTTCTGATCTCTTCTTCAAACGATCGACCGCGGCATTCCCATTCTCTGATCAGCTCTTTTAAATGTGTCTGTTGCTCCAACAACTTGGACATTTCCAACTTCAGATTAGCTTTCTCCGGGAAGATTTTCTCCTCGGCATCCGATACAGCGGTTTTCAACTCCCTGATCTCATTATCCCGGTCCAGTAAACTACTCTTTAACCTCGCGAGTCTTTCTTGGAATTTCGTGCTCTCTCTTTTCTCGACACTGAATTTGGTTTTCCAGGAAGAAATGTCTTTTCGAGCCAAGTCAAGTTGTTCCTGCAGCTGCTGAATTCTTTCCTTGGATTTATTCACCTCAGTTTTCAGTGAAGCAACTTGCGTTTCGGAAGCCTTGAGTTTTTCTTTGACAATTCGAAGCTCCTCTATAAGTGCCACATTGTCATTACTCGACTCGAACAATTCCCTATCAGCACCATCAATGCTTCCTTGAACCTCTAGTTCCTTATCGACACCAGCATCGGTATTTCCTAAATCCAAGGATCTGTAGTTTTCGAGTTCAGTCTTTAGTTTAGCGATTTCTTCTTCTGACATCCTTAACTTTTCATTCACAATCATTAGATCTTGTTCATATGCATTAATTTTCGCATAAGCATCTTCGACATTCTCAATTCTCGTCTCACTAGATGAAACGGAAACCTCTGCGTGTTCCCCTTCCTGTGTCCACAGCTTTTCTTTTACCTCGCGTAGTTCATTTTCTAACTCGGATATTCTTCTGTTCATCCCGGGATCACTACCATTCCGCGAGAAAGCTGAATAATTATTGACTGACGAATCATCAGATTCCTCCTCAGAATCCGTCACACTCGAGGAGTCATCTCCATCTTTTTGGTTTATATCAGAAGCGTTTCCACCGGGTCCCAGAAAGAAATCAAACCCAGCAGCTCGGTTACTAGATTTAGTATGAGCTACATTTGGAGAGGGCAGAGTCGAAAACGGTTCAGAGCCGGTGTCTGAAAAACCCGACCCTTGAGATTGGAGATCCGTTTGTACATTCTTCCGCAACTCTCCAGTCACATGATCGTAGCGTTCTGCCAAGGCTCGATAACCACGGTAAAACTCCTCGACCAAAGCAATCAACTCTGGTCTCTTCTTGTAATACATTTCAGCTTTTCTAGCAAATGAATCTGCGTCTTCTTCTATCAGCTTCAACATCCGTTTCACGCTACGGTCCATCTCTGAGATTAAAGATGATTTTATCAAAATGGTGATTCAATTTATCAATTAAAGAAATATCTAGGCTATCTTAAAGATAATACTAGTTTAAACCATGATTAAGAAACTCTGCTACTGGTCAGAAACATACTAGTTCAAGAGTTTATCTTTCAAATCACAAATTAATTACAATAGATGATAATTAGTTATTAGTTGCAAGTTAGTTACAAATTGGTTGATGAGAGTTAGTTATCAGTTGCTAGCTAGTTATAAATTGGTTATACTAAGTTAGTTATACTCTTAGTCTATATAAATATCATGGTATCACTTTAATGAAATAAGTTTTCATTTTTGATCAATACGACTGAATTTATTTCACTTTCTCATATTTTCTCTCTTCTACGGCTTCTTTAGATTCTATCAAGAATGTTAACATGATTCTAATAATCTCATTTTAATTGAAATCTCTGAAACACAGACTCCAACACAAATAATGTCAAAAATATAGGACACTGACACACATTTGTAAATAAGATTCATTTATCCATCTATTATTTAAAAAGTTGAAAATATTCAAGTATGAGACACCGAAAATGTCAGACACCACGACACACCTATTCCTTTTAAGTGTCTGCTTGGTATAAAAAAAATAAGAGCATTGCAATTGTAACTATTAGAATACCTTCAAGATTTCCAGAGAGCCACCTAGAATTCTTAGGACCAATATGACTATCCCACCACCAAGAATGTGATTTCCTTGACTCCAACCTCTTCATTTGCTTACTAGAACTAACCTATACAACAAAACAACCCAACCATAAATAACACATGCATTAACATAACCATTAGATCAAGTTCCATGTGACACCTACCCCAGAAGCAGCCATTTTCAACACCAATTTCTAGGCTTCTAGCTGTGCTCCTAAAATTGTTGACAATAAACACAAAACATGAAAACAAAAACAATTAATCAACATTAAGATGCATTCATAATATAATATATAACAATACATAACAACAAAAAATCATTAATGTGGACCCATCTAGATGGGCCTGTATGCATTCCACCGACCCTGGCCCAGAACGAAAACAGCAGTGAAACAAGACAGCATGAGTTTCGCGCGGACAATTTTAAAATGAAAAATAATAAAATATATAACCAAAGTTAATTTTTAATTTTTAAAATAAATAGATTTAAAAATATAAAAAAAAACTTTGACAATTTTTATTTTATTTATTATCTTTCAAAAAACAACGGAGCGTGTTTAAGGTACAGCTATATCCACGTTGAAGCGCGCAATCGCCGCTTGGAAACAAAATTTTATTTTATTTTGAAAATTAAAAAAATTGTTTGATGAATAAAACAAAACTATTTATTTAATTATTGTAACACTATCTTTTTGTAACTTTATTGATTGATTATGTTAATAATTCCAAAATTGGTGTTTTGTTAGAACAATAGGTAAGATTCAGACAAAGATTAAAAAACATATGCCAAAGGATTTCATAAAGTAAAATAAAACAAAACTAATCAAATAAAAAACATAGTTTAGCCAGAAAAATACAAAAACAATGAAATGTTGAAAATAATTGAAATAAATAGAAAAATGATTAGAAGAAAAATTAAAGAGAGGATAGAAGTGATTTGAAGAAATAAGAGAAAGAGTTTGTTTAGTTACCTGAAAAAATGAAGTGTTTGGATGAAAGTAGAAGAAGCTGCAAGATAAAGCAATGGATCTGGGAACACAGAGAGAGAGAGAGAGAGAGAGAGAGAGAGAGAGAGAGAGAGAGAGAGAGAGAGAGAGGAATATGAAAGAGTTAAAAATACGAAGGTGTTGGAGAGGTACTTTTGTATTGAGTAGTGTGGGGACAGAGAGGAAAAGAAAATGGCCGGAAAGGAAAGTCTTTGTGGTTTGTTTATTCTATTTAATGTCCATTAACTTCTCATCACTCCATTTTCTTTTAAATGATTGTATCACCTTTTTGATTTGTCTATTTTTATTTATTACACCTTCTTAACATATTGTATATATTAGCATTACTATTTTAATATGTATGAAACTGTTAAATATAATATTTACTTTAGGACGGAATGGAGCAAATGGTAGTAATAAATTTTGTCAATTATTTGTTTATTTTATTGAAGAAAAAAAAGTTAAAATAGGTATATATTAATTTAGCCAAAGAATTGGTTTGATGGGTCATGATTCGACTTATATTTTGTAACTATTTGAGCTTGAAGTCGGTTGTCAATTTGAAAACTTCCTTATCAATAAGACTACTATTGTGCTATTCCTATGATAATGAATAATTTCTATTTGAAATATAATTTATTTTTTTACTTTAAAACATTGTATGAGAGATTTTGTTTGTCATTACACAATAAATATATTAAAGTTATTTTTATATTCAACTATTATATTTAACTTATTGAAATTGTTCTATGTAGTTTGTTTTGAGGTAATGTCAAATCTGCCTTTCACACTGTTTTTTTTAAGAGATTTGGTTGAATTCTTATTGATCGGCATATTGGATGGCTTATTTTTTATTTCAGTGTTCAAATTGATTTGTTTATATGTGATTGTTGGGTCAGATTTATGCCCTTAGTTTTTTTTGTATTATTTTTTTTTATGATATTTTCTTTGCCTAAAAAAAAGTATCAATAATCTCAATCCAGCCTTTTATTTTGTAAGAAGTGTGAAGATGACTAAAAAAATATAGGCGAGGTTGAACATGTGTCAGATGTATGAGTGTGTTCGTCATATTTCCCTGTGATATAGAAATGTTTATTGTGTGTATCGAAGAAAAGGTCGAACGCCGTGACATATTGGATTTTTAAGTTATTCTAGTTTGTTTCAAGTTCGAAAAAGCAATTTAATACTTTTCGCAATTTTATATTTTATTCCTGCTTTTGATTACAGTCCATTAGAGCTTATTTTTCTGTATTTAAACACTTTTTAGTGTGGTTGTCAAGGTCATCTTTCACCATAATAAAATTCAATAGTTTTCTCTTTCTAGCGGATTCTAAAATTTTATCTGACATGTTTGTCGCTTGCAAACTGGTGTTTCGTTCTAGGTTTAACGTTTTGTTAATCCTTTATGATTTCAACTGTGTCGGATGGCATCAAAGCAGGTTTTCTCATGTTTCTTTTTGTAGCTTGATTACCATGGGAGATCAATTGGTGACTAGAGTAGACCTTAAGGGAATTATCACGGCTTTTACCACAGACATAGTTATTTTGACTAAACAAATGGCGACTTTAACAAATCAGGTGAGCAATGTCAACAACAATGGGAACTAACGAAAAGACAGTAGAGGAGAACATATTAGGGTTTCGCATGGATGAAACAATTGTGTTGTTATTAGTGAAAATTCGAGTTTTTGAGAAGAAGAACCTGACGATGAAGAGATAGTTGATCATGGGAATCAAGAGTATAACCATGATTATCGAGTTAAGGCTGATATTCCATTCTTCTATGGAACGATGGGAATGGAGAGGTTTCTAGATTCGTAGTTGATGTTGATAGATTCTTCGACGTCATGGGCATCCCTTAGAACAAGCAAGTTAAGATGGTGGTGTTCAGGCTGAAGAGTATTGTTGTTGTCTGGTGGGATAAGCTTGTTGTTCAAAGTCGGCGGCAAAGGATGGGGTCAGTCAAAACTAAGGCGAAAAATGAAACAGTTGATGTTGAAGTAGTTTTTATCGGAAGATTATGAAATATTTTTTATAAGACGTATATTTAGTGTGTTTAGAGAAAGAGAACTATGATAGAATACATAGTTAAGTTCTTACCTTTTTCTGAGTGTAATGAATTGGGAGAATCGTAGAGTCAGAAAGCGGCTCGATACATCAATTGCTTAAAGAGATCTTTGTATGAGAAGATGGGTTTATAGACTATGGTTGAGGCATCTAGTCTAGTTTTGAAGGCATAATTGATAGAAAAATCCCCTCGAAATTTTCACCTTTTAAAAGGTATTCACCCAAGAATAACTTTGAATCAGCAGGTGACAAGGAAAATAGTGCAACAACTAGGGATTCCAACAATGTGTAACAGGGTAAAGCACCAGTCCAGAGGCAGAATAATCCACATGTGAAACCCGTTGTAGACACGTGTTATCATTGTAATGAAAGAGGTCACATATCAAATGTTTGTCCAACAAGAAAAGTCATTATTATTGCGAAAGAAAGGGAAAAGGAAGAGGAAAGAGAAAGACCTATAATTAAGAATGATGAATATGCGGAGGTTAAGTTTGTAGAGGAAGAATCTGATTAGTGAGAAAATTTTATGTTTCAAAGAATTCTACTAGCATCCAAAGATGAAGGGCAATATAAGAATTTGTTTAAAACATGTTGTTCTATTAAGAACAAAGTGTGTAATTTGATCGCTGATAATGGCAGCATGGAAAATTCGATGTCGTAGGAATTGGTAGATTATTTCAAGTTGTCCACAGAGCCCCATGAGAAGCCATGCATCTTCGGTTAGGTAGGAAATTGCTTCAACGTTCGAGTAACACTAGCCTACAAAGTTCCTATCTCTATCGAAAAACATTACATAGAAGAGGTTCTTTGTGATGTTCTTGATATGGATGTTTATCATATTTTACTTGGTAGACCTTTGAGGTTTGATAATGATATCACATATCAAGGGCGGGATAACATGATGATATTTACATGGGGCACAAATAAAATCGGTATGGCTTCTGTTTAGCACTTTGATAAGAATCCTGGAGGAAACAAGTCTAGCTTCTTAGTGATAACGCAAACTGAAAAAGGAGCTTGATGAAGTTGTTAAAGAAATTGGATGTTTATGTCCTAGGGTGATTAAAGGGTTTTTTAGTATTGTAAAGGAGGAAATAACAATTCCGTAAGAAGTGTTTGAGATCCTAGAGGATTTTAAGGAGTTGATCGTAGATGAACTACCAAACAATTTGCCTCATATGCGAGATATTCAACATCATATTGACCTAATTTCAAGGTCTAGCTTATCAAACCTTCCTCATTATCCTATGATCCCTAAGAAGAATGATATTTTAAGGGAGCAGATTGAGGATTTGTTGAAGAAAGGATTCATTAGCGAGACTGTGAGTATCTCTGCACTATCGTTCATTATAGTCCCTAAAAAAGAAAACCAGCGGTGGATGTGTGTTGACAATAGAACCATCAATAAGGTCACTATCAAGTATCGTTTCCCAACTCCACATTTGGAAGACATGCTTGATGAGTTTCCATGGTCTAAGGTGTTTTCGATGATAGATTTGTGTAGAGACAAGACCATTGCTAGTGTAGCACCCTGCTTTTTCGTTTATTTTATTTTAATTGAGTTTAAAATGCTTTATGTTATTTTATTTTTATTGAGTGTTATATTTAATATATTAGTATTATTGAGGATGGGTAGATTTTTATTAGAACTATCATTAATTTTAATTATGTAAATAATGAAAATAATTAGAAATTGAGTTTTGGGGATGAAATTAGAATTTATATTAAAATTAAGGAAAAGGGTGGAATTAGTGAGAGTTGAGAGGAGTCCGTGGAGTTAATTAAAATAAATTAGAAAATTTATTTTATTTACTTAAAATAGAAAAGTTGGGAGAGAGTTTTATTGGTATGTAGAAGTGGTGAGAAAAATGGAGGCAAAACCCTAGGAAAGCTTTTAAAGGAGAGAAGAGAGCTTCCATTGCCAAAAGCTTCAATCTTTGCTGCAAATTCGAGGTAAGGGGGGATTGCTCATGATATTAGTGTATTTAGGCACAAATGATAGAGAGGAATCCTTATCCTCTTTTTGTTTTATTTTAAATTACTCTACTAATTAGCTTGTTGAACCTTGATTGGGGTTTGTGAAAAACCTCTTTAGGTTGCTATGATTTGATGTTAAATTTGTGTTG